GTCGACGATATCCATCGTTTGTTTCGAGCATGTGGCAAGGCCCGACGTTGTTTTTATCCACATATGCATAGCTTCCTCGAATTGCTCCCAGCGTTCATTCAGTCCTTCAGCTGGTGATTGAGCTGATAGGCAATCGGAGAGTTCTACTTCGAAGGCCGATTTGAATGAATCGCTGGCACTGTATTGTGGGTATCCATTGTCGGTGGCTTTTTTGCGGTTGTTTGCCAGGCGTAAGAAGAACTTGGCTCGTAACAAGGTGTGGTCTGTATCCACAGCTGTTGACCAGTAAGAGCGGCAGTCTTGAATTGATCGCCTCCATCGGCAACTGATGGCGATGTGGTCGACCTGGGTCCAGCGCAGTGAAGAGATTGGCGGTTTCCATCTAAGTCGGTGTCGTTTCTTGTGCGAGAAGCTCGTGTTTGACAAGAACAATCCATGGTCCGCGCACAGTTGAAGTAGGCGACCTCCGTTGTCCCTCAGGTTGGCTGGGACTGCATACGGTCCGCCAAGAAGCCTTTCTGATTCGTCCACGGATCCCACTTGAGTATTGAAGTCTCCTGCGACTACCACGATGTCTGTTGACCGAGCACTTTGGAGCAGTTGGGAGAGATCCTTGTAGAATTCATCCTTGATTTCAGGTATACTGCAATCGGTCGGTGCATACGCCGATAGGACGAATAAGCACCGGCGCTTCGTTCTGTAGCTGTTGACCCGTACAGCAGATGCGAATCGGTTAACTGTTTACACTGACTTTGGAACGATAGGCAAGAGGTCATAGTTTGATTAAGATGAGGGCAGCTGAAATTACCCACCATTATAGTATGACCTTAGCTGATAGGATTTGTGACAGCTCGCAAGTGTGTCGTTTGCCGACTTCGTGGATGACGCAGTACGACAGACCACCCCAATAAAACAATCGTCGTGCTTCGACAAATTCAGTTTACACCAAATTGTATCGGGAGAACAAACAGGAGGAACAACTGCATTGCCCTCCAGAGATCGCTTCGATGGTAAAGTAGAACACCACCCCCCACGTGTTGGACGATCGCGTCTGAGAATAGACATGCCCGGTAGGCAAAACTCAGAGTCCAGAATGTCAGCCGTCAACCAAGTTTCTGTAACAGCAATTATATCCCACGGACTGGATTGGAAACGCAACACCAGTTCGGAGAACCACTCCTACAGAAACCTCGGGCATTATAGCAAAAGGTCAAATGTTTTTGGTGTGGAAGTCCCTTTGGATGAGAAGTACATTCATTGCCGACCCTGGCCCGGTCGGCTGACATTGTTTTTTTGGTGAGGAAGCTCTGATACTTTGCTCCTTGGATTGTGGAGGGGAGAATGAAGCCTGAATCGATTGTGCATTTGCACCGTTATCACGCAGTGGAAATTCCGGTACTAGTGTTTATCAAGGGTCTCAGGCGCAGTTCTGGTGGTCCTTTTTCGAGAGTTTCTACTGAACAAGAATAAAGGACCACCGGAAGGCTCAGCTGGCATTTGCCAATTTGGGACACCTGTGGCACCGTCGCGACATCCGCTTGTTTATGATGAGTCGAGTGTATGCTGCAGCAGCTCAACCTGTTCTGCTATACGGCGCAGTTTAGTTCAGTTCAGTTTGAACAACCATTAAACATGCATATTCGTGCGCCGGTTTCGGTTGCTGTCTTTCGGCTGCCCATTGGGATGAAGAATAGAAGAAAAGAAAGTTGAAAGTGGAGTCGAAGAGAAAATGGAGAAGTTTAGTGATCTAAGGTTGCAAAGAAATTGAGGAGGTGCACGAACGCCAATGTTTACGACACCCAGACATATCGCTCACTGTCTCTAACCATCGGTTACGATCATCCCGAGGTCCCCAACCAGGGAGCC